CACACACACACACACACACACACACACACACACACACACACACACACGTTAAAAGTGACAGCATTTCCTCCGAGTATTAATCTCTTATGTTAGAAAAATAACTAATCTGCTAAAAGGCTTCCTAGCATCATCAGTTAACATCACAGTTTTGTTGATTATTAGTGTTGCTGGTTTGTTAAAACCGTAGGTTTGTAAGCCTCACAAGTTTCATGGGTTTGTTTCATGGGTCTCATTTTTTTAGTCACTTCCCAAAGCTCATGACTATAAATGAGAGGCGGAATGACATCTCTGCCATCCGGTTCAGCTCCCTCTTCACCACAATCGTCCAGTTTAACGCCAAATGACGGGCGAATTCACAAAGAATGGATTGCTGCCACTGAATAGCTCCATGAACTGCACATCACTTGCAACCACTCTGTGCCCCGTCTCAAGGACCGGTTCATTTGAGATGTTGCACTAAATTTATTGTGCAAATGATATAACAGCGCAAATACATTTTGTAATTTTCACTTTTTTTGCATCTGATTGCAATTATCCATGTTGCAAAGTACAGTATAGTAAAGTAAAGTAAAGTAAAGTATAGTATAGATAGTATATATAGTGAGCTTGAGGTCAATGTGTGGGTTGTGAGGGGGAGAATCAGCCTGAGCCAGAGGTCTCGTCTGGAGGGGCTTGCTGGAGAGCCACTTCCATCTCCGAGGTAATTAAGAGAGAAGAAAGGGCAAATTGTAAGCCCAGGATTTGGTAAAGGAGGGAGAAGGAAGAAATAATTTGTGTATTATTAACCTAATTCAGCACAGAGATGCTGTTTTCTTGTAGTAGGGGTGCATTTTACCCCGTGCAGGTGCTCTCTTTGTCTTATTTGTGCAGCTTTAGCAGCATGCAAAAGCTGCACAATCCCCTTTTTGTGAATTCGCCCCCCCTCGTTATCTTTGTTTGTGTGTGCATGTTCCTCACTGGAGGAGCAGTTGACTCCGTATCGTCCCGGCTCGCAGTCCTCGCACGCGGTGCCGTGGAAACCCTCGAAGCAACGGCACTCCCCGTTGCCGTGGTTACCGTCCTGACACTCCCCGTGATTGGAGCACCAGCTGCCGACGGCGCCGGGGCATCGGAAGCACTCGTGGCCGTAGTAACCGGGGCAGCAGGAGTGATCCTGCAGGACAGACGTCAGTATCTTTATTAGTGTTATTGTTCATTATTATCATCATAAACAGACCATAATAGAAAGAATCACAACTCTCTGATGTCTGTCAGCTGCTAACACTGCTGGAGAGTAATGATACCAACAAAGAAGAGTCTTTACAGTCTACAGGCTGCATTAATAATTGTATGTCCGTTTACAGTAAAAGTACACTTTCAACAATCTGCATGAATAGTTTTTATGATAATCTGAAGTGACATTAAGCATTTTATTTTTATGGACAAGAGCAACGAGTAACACTCGGATGAGAGAGGACGCTGAGCACTGATGGCTGCCGCTTCTCCTTCCGAATTTGAGCTTTTATCCCCTTCGAAAAGCGCTTATTAAATAAAATGCATTATTATTTATTATCATTACTCGAAAAATAAAATATTTTAAATACGTGTTTTTTTAAAGATGAAATCAATTGAAGTCAATTAATAACCTAAAACTAAAATTGGTTATAAGAATTAGATTAAGGTAATAAAATATAATTAAATTAAATTATTATAAAATATAATAGAAAATTATAAAATCCGTATTTAAGTTTCTTTTGAAGTTTCTCCTTTAAAATGTCTTAAAAAGTAAAGGAAGAAGAGAAAAACTGTGAATAATAAAACAAAAACATTGTACTCCACAATAATATTCAGCTGTGGTATTGGCAGCAGTTTGAGTAGTAACAGTAGTGGGAGTGTAGTAGCAGCTAGTAACACTTACACCAGCTAATTGTTGCAGGTATAGTCGTAGCATTTGCTGTCAGAGCAATAATATCACTACTAGTGTAAGTTCCATCAACAAAACAGTTGTCAAGAATATTTAAGGCCAACTGGACAAAAGTCAAAACCAGAGTTGAAAACAGGGTTGACTCTGAGTGAATGCTGACACTAAGAAGAGTCTGTAAATTAAAATGACTCCCAAATCAGAGCCAGTTCTCAACACCCGACCCAAACTACAGCACAGAGTAGTACTAGTAGTAGTTATAGTGGTAGAACTACAGTGTTGGTAGGAGTATCAGCAGACCGTGGTTAACCGAAGACATTTGAGGACACAGCCTGGCACGGACTTCCTCCTGACTCCGACTCGCTTCCTGTATTTACAGTTGGATCGCATGTTGGCCGGAAACTGCTCTCTGATCTGCAGCAGAAGACGTTAGAAACACAGTAGAAACCCAAACTGAGAGCTGTTCCAGAACGCAGGTACAATACAACTCTATCTTTATCTTGTCAATTAGAACCTGCTCAAACAGAAGTAAACACATGGCACATAGAAAAACTGATTTGTTCCAGCTGCACAGGTGTTCATGTTATTGTGTCCACCCCCTGTGAACCGAAACAGTTTTCTTACCGGTTTGTAGGTAAAAAGGCATCGAGGGGGTCCCTCACAGTCTGCGCACCTTCCCTGGAGACAAGGACAGAGAAGGAGGGACGGGGGGGTTAGAAGGAATAATCCATCCCGATGATAAACGTCTATCTCCACTGCCAATTTAATTACTTTGTCCTCAAGAGCTAATTAAATACTAGTGAATAATGCTTTAAATGCAAACAAACGGTTTAAATTAGACATTCCCCAGCCAGTAAATGCATTTATATGTGCTTCAAAAGGTAAAGTATAATGTGGTTATCTTTTGTCCACAGATGCTTCACTCTCTATAAAAAGCTTCTCCTTCGCTTCATGAAATCCAGCAGCCATCTCAAGGCAGCACAACACACGTCGATAAATCTGCAGCCTCTGATTTCTGATTTTAATTCTGCACATCATGCACGGCTGTTAACTATGTTTCTCTTGATTACATAGTAATGACACCAGGTTGCAGCTAAATAACCACACACATCAGCCTGGTGGGTTGGTGGCTGCTCGTCTATGTGGCAGACGTGAGATTACAGGAGACTCAAACATCCTGTGCATCAATCTCTGCTTTCCAATGTTCTTCTCAGCGAGTCTCATTTCATGTTTTATTTTTGAAAATGCATTATGGTGCAAACACTCCTGTCACATCAATTATGATAGGATGTGACGTGAGATACAGTCAAATTAAAACTGATACAGCATCTGATTGATGTGGTCGTATAAAAACGGCTTCAACAGCATTTTTTATAATCTATTTACAAAGCGGATAACTCTGGTGCTTGATTATGATTGGCTGAGACGCGGTCCAACCCCATGTCAAATGCTACATGAATTTATGTACTACACAAATGTGTGACCGCATTACAATAACACCACTGCGTCAATTAGTCCTAATCTTTAAAAAAAACGGTTTATGTATTTGTTGAGCCGTGTCGTCACTCATTGCCTCAGTTGTTTCAGAGCAGATTCATTAATCACCTCACCCTCTAATCTATAGTCACCTTCACCCAGCTGTCTATTGTTCTCTCCATCCATCCCGTCATTGATCCATTAATACATACATCTATCCCTCTTTCCATTTATTCATTCATCCCCCTTTCCATCCATCCATCCATCACTCCTTACGTTGACCTGCAGGGTGACCTGTTTGCTGCATCTGTTGCGGTGGATTTTCAGGACCTGAGGGAGGACTATGATGACGCCGTTCTGCGTCTCAGTTACAGTGCCGTCAAGGGGAACGTCGTTCACAGCTGTCTGGAGGGTGAGAAGCAAATCAGACTCTTCACTCTGCCCGGCTGGTAAAGATGTGCACGTTAGAAGACCCTTTTATGTGTTCGCACATAATCTGTGATTCTTTTATATTTCACAAAACTTCTCATCTGTCAGTTTTTAGATTGACTTCCTTCTTTCTAGGGATCCATCGGTCTCAGTTTGTTTCTCGGACTAGAATTATCGATGACTAGGAAGCTTTAATTTCTGTCCACGTTTTGGTATCCTCACCTGATAATGAACTCTACTCAGTGAAGCGTTCATCACAGAACTGACAGTCCGCTGCTGAAAAGCATTTTATTGACAATCACTGTTGTCATAAAATCAAATTTAGAAAAACAAACGATAAAACATGAACCTTGTAAAAAGGGTGATAATAGTTTACTTGTGTCTTGTATTCATTTTGCGGTTCTGCAGCTGAATCTCATGCAACTTTGATCAAAAATGTCCACTGATGGATAATTTCTCTGCATTTTGATTTTCATAGAGATTCACTAAAACATATGGCTGCCTGGAAGGAAATCAATCTAAAACTTGACAGAAATGCAAAAGCAGAAGTGCATTCCTCTAATTAACAGACAAGTCTTCAGTGTTCTGGTGTGAAAAGCTTCTGGAAGGTTGGTCACATGACTGTCCAGCTGTTGTTACCTGGTTGTTGTCGTTTAAGTGGAACTGGACCTGGTAATCGCTGCCCAGCAGGGTGCTTTTCAGCGTGCCGTCAGACAGGTGGTCAGGGAAGAGCAGCTCGTTGAGAATCACGTGGTACTTGAACACATCAGAGTCCTGGACAAACGGACAGAGGACGTGAGTTTATGAATAATCAATCTCAGAACCCGTCGGCTGATTGGCAGCTGTGTTCATAGTTGGAGAAATCTACTGACCAATCAAAACTTATTTATGTGGAAATAAGAACGAGGACGTCTTCTTCATGAGCCAGAGAAATGTCTGAGTGTGGATGAGATGTTTGCAGCTGCAAGTCAACTTAAAGAAATCAACATAAAGTGTTAAGCCTGGCAGACCTGGTACGGGGCCTCATACCATGGATACAATAAATAGATTTGTAGAGTATGAAGTGTACACTGCCACTACAACCACAAGGATGCACAAAAGACTTAATATAATCAACAAATCATTTTACCAGTGGTGCCTGTGCAGTGACTTCAACTATTAAATGGAAGAAAAAAGGTCTTAAGGGAAATATCAGAAGTACTTCTTTTTCCTCTCGAGCCGTCTGGAGAGTTGTTGTCTGTGTTTGATTGACGGCAGCTAGCAGGCTGCCAGAATGTCGGTAACACCTTAGTGAACGAGCGACAAAGTAAACAAACCTGCTCCGCAGCCTTCGTATCATGTGCAGACCACTGTTGTCAGTGGTATTGAACAGTGAGGACAAGCCAGCATCTAACCGGGCTAACATTAACATGCTGTTTAATGTGCTGCAGCTCAGCAGCTAACTGGGTAAATGTTTGTTTAAAAAGCTGAGGTGCAGGACAAGACGTGTGTTCATGTTGGAGGTTAGGTAAGAAGGAGACTTTAGCAGGAAACTGCTGTCTGGCTCAGTGTGACCATCTGATTTGACTGTGATAGAAAGCTAATGTTGCTGCTTCATGCAGATAAGGTTCAAAATTAAGTGATTGGATTGGCTGTATGGAAACAAGTTTTCAATCCACGTTGACGGAGAACAAACGGTATTTAGTCAAACTAATGGTACCCACCATCTTGAAACCCCAAAATATACATTTCTCTTATTAGGTTTCAGATGTTTTTCTAAAAGGAGAACACTGAACAAGTGATTTACAGAGCAGGCTTTCATGTTGTAGCATCCATTTTTATGTTATTGCTCAGATCATCTGCACCTACCAGGAGGGAGGAGTTAGTCCTGCTGAGGTGCTGCCTGATGGCATCATCTGTTGGCAGCAGGAGCGTGAAATCAAACACACTCAGATCATCTGAGAGATTGAACATCTGTGAACACACGCACACACACACACAAAACATATTTTAAAAAACTAATAAGGTTGAACTCAGACAGAGAAACAGGCAGACAGATATCCTACCAGAGCGTGCTGTCTGAACAGAGTGAAGGTGGAGGAGGAGTTAAGGAAGGCCATCAGGGTGGGGGGCTCGGGGGGGATGTCTGAGCGGGATGGAGCCAGAATCTGATCACACACAAACAAACAAATAAACAAACAGACAAGAGTTTTAGTTCATTACATTTATTTGTCTCTGAAACTTTGTATTTATATTGTGTTAGAGGTCTAATTTAATTTCCTTGTAATCTACCTCCTGATCTAATGAACAGTCCTCTGATGAACAACCTGATGAAATCCCTCTAACAATTATACCAAATGACATTTTCCTTCTTCGTAAAGCTCTAAGAGCCAGTATGTTGTTTCCTCTACTGAGCGTCCTGGTCGTTGAGACTCTTACCTGGTCTATGACGTGGATGTAGCCATTGATTGCAGGCAGGTTGTGGGTGAGGATGGAGGATTTTCCAATGTGGATCCCCTGAAACAAACGACAACAGTTAAATACAGTGAACACTGGGTTTCCCATACATTGATATATTTGTGGCGGTCCGCCACAAAACCAACACTCATCGTCACATTTTGATTTTCTACTTTATTACTACCATATTTATCCCTGATAATGCTACATTTTGAACAACAAATCTGTGTTGAAATTGGCAGGATGAGAGCTAGTTTAGCTGTTAGCAGCTCCTTTAACAGGATTCAAATTATGAATTCAATTATGAAGCATTAAAAATTAGTATTTGGCAAAGGTAAATTCTAACATTATCATGATGTGTTCCAGCATAATCTTGTAAAATTTCGTTTTTTGCATTAATAGCAATATAAAATAGATAACTACCTCCATTTCATTGTCATTGTTGTGTTTTATGTTCATATATATACACTTTAGTATATATATTTATATTCATACATAGCAGTTAAATGTTTATGCTTACATCTGTTCGACTTTGTTGTCCTTGTTTTTTTCAGTTTATTGTATATTTCTGTATTTGTAGGTTGAGAGCAAATTAGTCAACTTAATAAAGCTGATTCTGATAATTGAGAGGGAAGTATGACTTGTTTAACTTCCTACGAAAACCAGTATGCAAATGGTTATAAAGAAGTGTATGTTGAAGTACGTGGGATTCATTGTTTTACTTTTGTTTCTTTACCGTGGTATTGTATTAGTATAAAGAATCATGGAATTTCCCTGCTATTGGCAACAACTATCTAATTTCTGACCCCAGCAGATCCACCACCACACATAGAATGTGATTCTGTGGGAAACACAGTTATGTGTGTCTATTTAACTCTGAACTAGGCCTGATAATATATCAGGTGAGATATTTTTGATAGAGTACCAAACACTCTCAAATTGCGTGTAATTAATGTCTGGTCTGCTGAGGCGGCAGTTCATTACGCAGTCTACACCTGGAGCTGAGCCCTCAGGTCTGTGTGAGCGAAGCTGAGCATTCATCTGAGATCAGAGGTCAGAAAATAACTATCATGTGATGCTGCATAGACGTATTCAATAATGAACAAGAGTTTAAAACATTCACAGCTGCTGCAGTTCAACTTCACCTGAGAAAAACTGTATACATATAATACAGCCTAACGTGTAGGTCTATTTATACAATAAGAGCCATTTAAAAGGTGCAATGTGTAAATTAATTAACATTATAAACAGTATATGAAGAGCTAGTGAGTCATTGTAGCGTCCAGTCTATCTTAATGAACCAACTGTTCAGTAGTGGAAAAGGTATGGTTTAGACTTAAAGACGATACTTTGTGTTAGTTTCAGTTTTAGTCAGACTTTGTATGGAATTATTTTACACAAGAGCACATGCACACAGCAAAAGCTGATAAGGAACCCAGTTAAATGTGTACATGACCCCAAAAAAAAAATCTGCGTTCTCTGAGAGAGATGTAGCTGGAAAACCATGTTTCTCGTTTACGTGATGTTTAAGAAATCCGTTTATTGAGGAAACCCAACAGTAACTTGTGCTCACCGACCATATCTAGCTGCCTGTGCTATAGACTCTGCACAGATGTGCTGGTTGGATTGCCACACTGTCAAGAAGTGATGGTTCCAGCATTGAACTCCCCTCAAACCGCAAACTGTGGTCTCGACATTTGCAAGTTTTTCTATGATACACTATCAAGATATGTGTAGCCTACATTTCAAAAAATCCTGTTTTTATTTAAACGCCATCCAACAATCAGCACTTCACAAAGGAACCTGGCACTAACAATGAAGCAGACACCCTCAACACATCTGTGGTATTTGCACCTACACTCTTCAGAGGTGGAGCACTTTACACACAAAACTGATCCTCGCAAATTGCGTGAATTATAGTAAATCCACCAAAACGTGAAGTCTGTCTGTCACAATTCCCCCATTCTTACCCCGCTGCTGTTGCTGATCTCCCAGTCGGTGGGGGGGTTCAGGGTTTGCAGCCTGTGGCCCACCATTCTGGCCAGGTCTTCTATGGAGTAGATCCCCGGTATGATATGGGCCCTGCAACCAGAGAGAGCAAAGAGGAAACGGTTACGACTCATTTCACTGAACACAAACTCACAACTTGATCCGGGGATATTGTGGCTTCAAGCTTAAAGGCTCTGTGTTTCATCCAGTTTAATGCTCCACAGGTGAACAGTGTCGTAAAATATTTACACAATATCAGATCAGGTCAAACTTCCTGATAATACATCCCAGTGTTTCTTGGGAAATCAATACAACACAACAATAAAAATGTTGTTTTGAGCTGATGATGTTATAAGATTAGCAACACAGAGTTTAATTTTACTGCGTCCCTGAGCTTAGTGAGAAACATTTGAGTGTGCGTCTGATCAGCGTGTGAGGTGACTGACCGCAACAAGTGAGGCAGGTGGTGTCTGCTGGACCAGAACTTGTCCTGAGCTGAAGTCATGTTCCTCAGAGCTTCTCTGGACGGAACCAACACTGTGAGGTTCCCGAGCAGGTCGTCAGAGAGGTGACTGTACGTCTGACAGCACACACACACACAAATACAACTATATTATCTTTAGTGTTGAATCATTTGTTAAAACACCGACCATGTCACATTACTACAGCAGCTACATCTACATTGAAAGAAAAAGATTTACAGCCTGTTTTTATGGTTTTGGCTGATTTAACATACCAGAAGCTACGAGTTAATTGAGATTAGACTAAATAACTTTATAACTCCCCACCTGGTAATCTAGTTTGGTCTAAATGCAGCTTAGTTTGAACAAAGTGTGGTAGTTATGCTAGAACTACAGGATAAACCACACAGTGCAAAACTTGAATAAGCGAGTAACGAGAGTGTAGAGCAGTGAATCTGTTTTTACACACCTGAGTCAGTCGGTAGAAAGTGTACAGCTTCGGGTTCATGTCCAGCTCCTACAAGCACGCACACACACACAGAGTTATTATGGTATGTAGTTTGTCTGGTCACTGTAGACGAATCTGGGTTGTAGTATCAGCATACGAAACATTCAGGTAGCAGCTTCTTATTTTTCACTTTCTCCTGTTAAAATGACAAACGTCCCAGGCGATCGGCTACCAGCTGTTGCTAATTAACTTTAATTCCGTTAATAACTTGATATTAGGCCACATGGCTGTTGTCAGGTTTGTATGTCTGCACTCTGCAAAAGACCCTCAGAGTGTTTTTTGTACTTTCAACAACTCCAACAGAGTGAGACGTTTTCTCGTTGGTGGATCACTTCACGTCAATTTCAGGAGTCCCATTCTCCGTTTTATATCTTCCGCTGCTACGTACATGTAAGAAATTAATAAGACTTGGTATCGGCAGGCAACCTATATTTAAGATAATATTTTTGGGCATTTTCTCCTACATCTGACAAAGGACAGTGTGGAAATGGGTGAGAGAGAGAGAGATGGGTATGACATGCAATAAAGGTCCCTAACAAGGCGCTCCCAGATGAACAACAAGGGCTCAGGACTAGGGCCAAAAAAAGAATTTGAGACGCCCCTATATAGTGTCACACTGGTCTGAATACTTACCTCCAGTATTGTCCCGTAGCAGATAGTTCCGTCTCCTGTGTAGCCGTCAGGACAGGTACAGGTGTGAGCCCCGTCCACCTTAGAGAGCTCACACTTCGCCTGACAGAGAATGCAGCAGAAAGGAATCATGAGAAATACCGAGGCCGCAGCAATTACACAACACTGATCAAATCTCTGTTTACACTCTTAAACCAAGTAAACATGTTGCACAGGAAATTCTTCAGATGAAGAAGAATCAGAACTTAAATGTCTGCACGTCTGGGAATTATATGTGAAAAAAGGTCAAAAGCAGCAAGTATTTTCCAGAAACAATGTCCTGGTAACTCCACAGACACGAGTCTCTGTCTCTGACCAAAAATGTGTTTTCTGAGGTCACAGTGACTTTAATCTTTGACCACCAAATTCTAATCAGTTCATCCTTGAGTCCAGGAGGTCAGATGTAATGAAATTCCCTCCAGGCGTTCCTGAGATATCACATTCACCAGAATGAGACGGTCTGTGAGGGAATTTCCCCTGCGGTGATAATGATTGGCTCAATAGCGCGATGTGCAGCATTATTACCTTTTTTTCTTTGCAAATTACTTAATTTATCCTGATTTTAATGACATGTAAATGGCGTTATTGGTGGGCTATTTTTATGTGTATTGTTGAATTTGAATGAGAAAGACGATTCATGGTAACTGTTAAATTTGCAATTGGATTGCGCAGTAAAAGATGACGCGAGTGCAGCATTTTAACCAAAGTTTAACATGTTTAAACTTTTTGTGACAGCAAATGTGCAGCACAGAAGGGACGCTCAGCACCTCATCACGCTGCTTGCGTTTGTAGCGTAGTGTAAATATGTGCAGCTCCCATTGCAAAAAAGACATTTTTTAACATGAACATAGTGTTTGTTGCTGTTGCTTGCCATCACGTGCGGCTTGTCATAAGGGCGGTATTGCAATGATATAATATATTATTTGTAAAGTTTAAGCAGGTTTGTGGAGCCTCTCTCAACGTGTTGTTTTGCTGGAGACGTGTTTCATAACTAGAGGTGATGAGTTTAAAGTTAGCATGACGCATCCTTTAAATCCTCAGTGAATAAAACCAAATCACTCCTCATGGCTGACATGATATTTGACACACATACTTATATATACACATACTACGTGTGTGTGTGTGTGTGTGTGTGTGTGTGTGTGTGTGTTTACCAGGTCATGGCAGCCTCCATTGTTCTTGAGGCAGGGATTAATGATGTCACACACAATACCGTCACCCATGTAACCTGTTTTACAAACACACTCACTCTGCAAACACAGACAGACAATCAGACATACACATAAACAAACAGTACTTTTATTGACAGTCAGACAGCTGATTAGTAACTAATTAATAAATGAATAGAAAATAGGAGCTGATGACAATAGAAGAGAATATGTGGATCATTTGTTAAAGTAAAGGTGTGAGACAGAAGAACAGCTGGGTTAATGGGACAAGGCATCCCAAACAGGGACATAACAAAGGAAAGGAACACATTTTTAATAAGTTGTAGCCGTTTAGTTAACGACCATCAATGATTAATGATTCTTATTATCCATCATTAATTGTTAGTAACCGACCTGTCCAGGTCCGATGTGGTTACAGTCGGCGTTGGGGCTGCAGCCTCCTCCACTCTCCAGCTGACAGTTGTTGATCTCCACACACACTCTGCCGTCACCTGTCCAGCCCTCTATACACACACACGACGCGTTACCTGGACCCACATACACACACTCTGCCTGTAGTGAGGAAGGGAGAAGATGCGTTATAAAGTAGATACATCTTCAGTTTTATAAAAAGACCGAAGGTTGAATAATAAATAGTTTGCAACAACACAGAAACTGGCAGTTTACCAATATTATATATTTGATATCTGCTGATGAATCATTAATTCTCTCACACTCACACACACACACACACACACACACACACACAAGCAGTAAGTCTCACGTTGGAGTGACAGCCTCCCCGGTTGCTCTTCAGGCAGGGGTTGATGGGAGAACAGGAGTGACCGTCACCATCATATCCATCCCTACACAAACACCTGGTGCAACACACACAAACAAAGATTTTAATTAACAAACAAGCTGCAGTTAAAGTTCACTGAAACGTGACTCATGTTGTTTGTTTTGCAGAGAACTACAGAAGAATTGAGAGCGCTGCAGTGGTCCATGTGCCTCCGTAGTGAGGATGAGGCTGTACGCGAGGAATCTAAAAAAGCTAGAGCTGCTACTCTTGGTGAGAATGACACACAGGTTTCTCGCTGTCCAAACTGACACCAGCCCACAGTGTTGTCATGGTGCTTGACAGGTCTCAGAGAATCCTTTCCGACAAAAAGACGTGAGGTGGTTCCTTGACATCGCTTTGAGATATCTGGCTGGCAGGAAGCGAAGCCTCCACCAGTAATGTTAGCTAGCATTAACAGTTGGATGGAAACAAGACAAAGACTCTACAGCCATGCTGTATACAGTATATATACTGTATATTGCACATATTATTAATAGTATCTTCTCATATTTTATTGTATTTTCTTTTCTATAGTTATGCAGTACTTGCTTTTATCTATATTTCCTTTTTTGTTATTCACCAGAACACAAGGGCTAATTCCTATAATGAATCCTAGAGTCCAGGGGCGTGAAGTGGGGCCAATGGCCCCTTTTCCACTTCCAACCCACCAACTTCCAGCACCATTGCTTGGACCGCACCCATCTTCTTCTTGGCCCTAATTTTGATCTCAGCAACACACCTGTAAAGTTTGGTGACACCAAATCGGGTCAGGGGCGCAAAGTGGAGGGAACTATGGCTCCTTTTCCACTTCCTATCCCCCGGCACTACCTGTAAAGTTTTGTTGCTGTATCTGGCACGTATGTGATGCTATCGCACTGAAAAGAATCTGTCCACAGACAGAAATACAAACAGTATTCAAAACTGCTTCTGTAGTATTTCCTGTCAAGACCACATTTTGCCAAACTCACAAGGTGAAATCAGTACCAATAAAACTGACTTAAATGTGACTCAAACTAATACACACATTTTCGTTAAAAGATTAGAAATAAATCCAAATCAGGTGCCAAAATCAACACCATCAGTTGTAATAACAGTAGTAGTATCTTACCTGGTATGCAGTCCTGTGTGTGTGCAGTATGCATGTATGTGGCAGTGCTCCTGCAGTCCGTCAGAGTTGCATGGCGTGGCCGTCTTGTCACAGTTTTCTCCAGAGTATCCTTCCATACAGGATCCTCTCCGACACACACCACCGCTGCCTGGACGGTTATCACACACACCGTGGACACAGCGGCACTCTGAAGACACACACAAACGCACATTATGTGAAAAAGCTACTCAGTCACAGTAGTGGATCAATGTCTCAAAATCTGACTGATGGAGGATTACTGTTTGTCAGGTACTCTGCTGGCAACAGGAGGCAAGACATTCATGGTCCCCAGAGGATTAATCCTACTGACTGGTCTTTCCACTATTGCCACCATGAGGTTGATATTTATGGTTGGCAACTTTTGGGTGCATTGTCAATAAATTTGGTACAGACATTTACGTGCCCCTCAGCATGAATTGAAATACCTGTGGTGATACTTTTTCTCTAGCTCCATCATACGGTCAAAATTATACTTTTTATAACCAAATAACTTCAAACTAATTACATTCCCATCAGCCTCGGCTCTACTTTGTGTTCATTGCTTATTAGTAAATGTTAGCAAGCTAACACGGTATATTAAGATGGTTGGCATGGTAAATATCAAACATGCTAATCAGCATGTTAGCATTGTCATTGCGGGCATGCTAGCTTTTAGCTCAAAGCGCTGCTGTGTCTCAAAGAGCCGCTAGCGGGGCTGTGTCCGAAATCCCTCCCAATTTACTATATAGTGCACTACAGGTGCTGGTCATATAATTAGAATATCATCAAAAAGTTGATTTATTTCACTAATTCCATTCAAAAAGTGAAACTTGTCTATTATATTCATTCATTACACACAGACTGATATATTTCAAATGTTTATTTCTTTTAATTTTGATGATTAGAACTGACAACTAAGGAAAATCCCAAATTCAGTATCTCAGAAAATTAGAATATTGTGAAAAGGTTCAATATTGAAGATACCTGGTGCCACACTCTAATCAGCTAATTAACTCAAAACAACTGCAAAGGCCTTTAAATGGTCTCAGTCTAGTTCTGTAGGCTACACAATCATGGGGAAGACTGCTGACTTGACAGTTGTCCAAAAGACGACCATTGACACCTTGCACAAGGAGGGCAAGACACAAAAGGTCATTGCAAAAGAGGCTGGCTGTTCACAGAGCTCTGTGTCCAAGCACATTAATAGAGAGGCGAAGGGAAGGAAAAGATGTGGTAGAAAAAAGTGTACAAGCAATAGGGATAACCGCACCCTGGAGAGGATTGTGAAACAACCCATTCAAAAATGTGGGGGAGATTCAGAAAGAGTGGACTGCAGCTGGAGTCAGTGCTTCAAGAACCACTACGCACAGACGTATGCAAGACATGGGTTTCAGCTGTCGTATTCCTTGTGTCAAGCCACTCTTGAACAACAGACAGCGTCAGAAGCGTCCCGCCTGGGCTAAAGACAAAAAGGACTGGACTGCTGCTGAGTGGTCCAAAGTTATGTTCTCTGATGAAAGTAAATTTTGCATTTCCTTTGGAAATCAGGATCCCAGAGTCTGGAGGAGAGACACACAATCCACGTTGCTTGAGGTCCAGTGTAAAGTTTCCACAGTCAGTGATGGTTTGGGGTGCCATGTCATCTGCTGGTGTTGGTCCACTGTGTTTTCTGAGGTCCAAGGTCAACGCAGCCGTATACCAGGAAGTTTTAGAGCACTTCATGCTTCCTGCTGCTGACCAACTTTATGGAGATGCAGATTTCATTTTCCAACAGGACTTGGCACCTGCACACAGTGCCAAAGCAACCAGTACCTGGTTTAAGGACCATGGTATCCCTGTTCTTAATTGGCCAGCAAACTCACCTGACCTTAACCCCACAGAAAATCTATGGGGTATTGTGAAGAGGATGATGCGAAATGCCAGACCCAACAATGCAGAAGAGCTGAAGGCCACTATCAGAGCAACCTGGGCTCTCATAACACCTGAGCAGTGCCACAGACTGATCGACTCCATGCCACGCCGCATTGCTGCAGTAATTCAGGCAAAAGGAGCCCCAAATAAGTATTGAGTGCTGTACATGCTCATACTTTTCATGTTCATACTTTTCAGTTGGCCAAGATTTCTAAAAATCCTTTCTTTGTATTGGTCTTAAGTAATATTCTAATTTTCTGAGATACTGAATTTGGGATTTTCCTTAGTCGTCAGTTATAATCATCAAAATTAAAAGAAATAAACATTTGAAATATATCAGTCTGTGTGTATTGAATGAATATAATAGACAAGTTTCACTTTTTGAATGGAATTAGTGAAATAAATCAACTTTTTGATGATATTCTAATTATATGACCAGCACCTGTATATTTACTGCCATTTTTATTGAGAGTCCAAATTCTGAGCGTACACATTTATCCACTATATATAGTGCCCTCAAATATTCCACAATAGAATAAAAAAGTAGTGTATATATGGCTTGGACAATGCAATGCTCTGCTGTCAGGGAAGAAATAAAATGCTGATTGTTTGAACAGAAGTTGCTCTCCAAGTGAGGAGGAGATGTTACCTTCATCACACTTTTCTCCGTGCTTGGACGGATCCGCACAGATGTGGCATGCGACACCCTTGAGGCCTGGCTGACAGCTGCACGAGCCGTTGCCATAGATCCCGTCAAAACACTGCATGCGGTGAAAAATAAAATATAAATGCATAAATAAAACACGTCAGTTGACGCACGCTCCAGTGACAGAGCATTTGCATGTTGCTCACCGTTCCTTTGTCGTAGCAGGGATGCTGGAATCCTCCGATGCAGGGTTTACAGTCCGGACCGTAGAAACCTTTACAGCACTGTGCTACCTGTCAAACACACACACACATCAAAATTAAAACAGAAATATACTATATGTTATAGATTAATACTATCTCACCAATATATGACTGGTACCTGAACAGTAAAACCATCGACTGTGTCACTCGTAGTTCTTGACTATGAATCATTTCTAATGTGGGTCCTTGTTTGACTTAGTGCTACCTTCAAACAGCACATGTGACTTTGTGTTTTTATTTATTTTTTAATCTAACCAGTGAGATTAATACATTTTTATTTTTTGCTTAGTGTGATGCAAGTTAAAATGCTTCATATCCCTGAAATCTGTACAACCTTCAGTAAAATATTATGTAAGTCAATAAACCATAATAATTGATAAAGATTTTGAAACTGAAAGCTGAGGACAGTCAACACACTGAACACCTTCTTGTTAGAAGGCGCCATGACTTGTAAAGACAGAAGAAAAGTAGATGAATGAAGCTAAAACTAAGTCTCACCTTTTTGGTTGTGTTGCAAAATTTGGCGCAGCCTTTACTGATGGACATACTGTAACCCCCTTGGAGGTAATCACAGCCGATCTGATGACTGTCCTGGAGACAAACACACAGATTTGTTAGCTTTCTGTTCTCGTCCATATTGCCCGCTGAGTAGAAAAAAAACTATTGAGGCAACATCTGCGAACAAATTGCTGAACTGAGCACATGATTTAGCTGAAATTTTAAAGCCCGACATCTGGAATATGGATCGGGCAATCCGAACAAAAGCAGGGAATTATAATTCTTTGACAAAAAGAATGTAACACAGTATTTAATTGTCACACCAGGTGAATTAAAGCACAGACTAGTATCTGGAAAATAACCTACATTCCCATATTCTGTATTGAACAGACGGAAAAATAGCATGTTAGCAGATTGCTACAGCTCTTAGTATTTTATTTATGTGACATCAATTATAACCTGTGCTGTCATTCAGTGGATATAAATAACACATTACATCCTCATAACACTTTCTAACCCTCATCCTGTTTATTCTGAAGGTCAACGGTCACATACCAAATGTTATTGTTTACATGAACACAACTTTACTGAATGCTCCTACATATACATTTCACCTCACACTTTGCATAAGGATTTCCACATCAGTCGTATGTTTCTAACCCCCAGGGGGCTCTGCAGAAGAGAACAGAATAGAATGGAAATGTTGCAGTAATAATGATGTGTTTTACCATTTCAGTGGTGCCACCTGGACATTCAGTCTCATGGAGGTAACGGCAGGAAACACATGGACCCTGAAAACACACAAACACAGAGAGAACGAAGTTAGCGTTACTGTTAGCTGAAACGTCATTTGGTTTTTGTCTGTCGTCGTTTATTACAAGTCGAGCCTTCTGAAGTCAGAGCCCAATCAGTTTCAATAACTTTTCAGCAGAAACTTTGACCCAGGTTTAAATGTCAAAACGATGCACAAATTATTCCAAGCAAACCATGTTAGCCTGCTAAATCGAAAAAGTGTAGCTGAACCAAAAAATGTTTTAATCTGACAATTGTGTGTGTAAAATATAAATTAGCCAGCTAATGTTAGCCACTGTTGGACTCCTCTATATATTGGCCTGTTGTCTCTGCAGTCTGTGTGTGTTGCTGTTTGTTGGTGCAGAGTCTGATTTTGACTCTCGGCCTCGCTCGGCTCACCAAGGTGATTTTGCTCTCGATGACATCACAGCGATGAGGAAGGATGGGGAGGATGGAGGGCGGGAACAGAAGCCCGTCAATCATATGGATGATCCCGTTGGACGCCACAATGTTGGTGCTCGCCAGACGGACGCCCTTTTCGCCCAGTAGGATCTCACCCTGGAGAAAGAAAAGGAATGGATGTTAATGGAAACTGCTGATGTTCACTGTAAATTAGACAGGAAACAAGTCATATTATGAGAAGCACTGCCAAAAGCAAATCAGATGCACTTACATTGTTGGACACAGTGATGGTGACAAACTGATTGGCCATCGTCTGAATCCGCGGGAGAGTAGTTAACTCGTCGACTGTCAGCTGCAGACAGAAAAAAAAAAAAACTTTTATCCAAACATGTTTGACAGGAGAAACAACAATGACGATTTAGCTATTCTTAGTGCCTTAAAAAGGTGCTAAATTTGTAATTCAGAGCATTAATATAGCAGCAAACAACTTTTACTTTTACGCTGTTGGCTCTACCAGCACTGTTAGTGCTGGTAGCACCGTTAGCTGCTGTCCGTTAGCTGCTGTCACCATGTTGAGAGCCATGTGGAGGCAATGCCTCAATCATAGATATGCTCTGAATTTGGAATTTAGTACCTTTAACAGCAGCGGAGCTAAAATATAAAGTTTGTACTGATAAGAACAATGATATGATATTGCCTACGAAGATTTGTACGTTTAAGTGGCCTGTTAGATCATGAGACATCTTGCTGTGGACTATAGTGTTGGACAGAAAGTTATTTCTTTGTATGCCTTCTTCACAAGCAGAGTAAAAAAGACAAAAAGGAAGAAAGAACCAAGTATGGAAAACTGATAGATTGATGGAGGGTGCGTGGGTTGAACGGTTGTCTTACCACCGCCTGGGAGAAAACGTGATGTCTGAGAAGTTCCTGAAGTTTATGTTTGGCCTTGAAAAAGAGAAGAATGTCATTAAAAATGTCTGATAATCCTTGCATTAGCATAATGATAGCTAAAAGGACTAACAATTGGTAGCTGGGGTGGTAGAAATCATGTTAGGAAAATAAAGATCCTTTAAAATATAGAATATTAGTGGGGACATTTTTTAAGATTTACAGCTTCAATAGGTACCAATGGTTTTGGGGTTGAGAGCAACAGGGTCAGGAAGTTATAGAGTATTTGGTTTCAGACAAATACATAGTTGATTGTCGTCTTTTCATGGAATTCGTTGATAATAAGAAATATAGACTGTAAGCAGACTCATCATTTAAAGTTACCTGTATGTTATCTGCTCTGATAACAATTACACTCAACAAATGAAACCTTAAGTGCTAACTACACCTACTTCGTGCAGCATGTACAAGATGCTGCCGTCTCTGGATTTGTCCACAGCCTGGTTGGTGGGGACGAACACAGTCAGGGGACCAGGACCCCGAAACGGGGGCGGCGACCCGCAGTTCTACGAACACACACAAACACATCCGATTAAAGCAAAGGATTAAGCCTCGACATTGTTTTGGTAAGCTCTCACTGCCATATAGATGTCTGGTGTGATGTTATTGGCCTGAAGAAAATACTCACATCAACCAGAGACAGGAAGCGGTTGTATTTTTCATCCTTAGTCAGAATCTCTCTGATCGTCAGCTTAGCACACTGGACACAAGAAGAAGAAGATGATCGAATGGCCGACATTCACTTTTATGGAGTTTAATGCAGTGGACACACAGGTTAGCAGGAAACATCTAGTATACATTTAACTGTACTAAACAACACATCAATGCATCAAGGCAGATTTCTTTTTTAAATTAAACTAAAATACTGAGCACAAGAAATGCTCAAACTAAAATATTGGAAATGCTCAGAAAGTACATTTTCTGTGAGACACTATTTTGTTTCGTTCTGTTTGTTTAAAATGTTTTAGGTCAACCTCAGTGTAGATGTGGTATTTTTTGGGGTTTCGGGTAATTTTCCATATTTTGTTGAAGTGACCGTTTGACTCACCCGTTCATCACGAGGAGATTTGTCAGAAAGAGTGTTTGTGATTGGCCGGTCGATGATGTGGATGATCCCATTGGCTGCTGGCAGGTCCTCCTGGATGACGTTGTACAGTCTGCTGGGGTTGTCCATCAGGATGAACCTCTACGTCGACCAGAGAGCGATACAATCAGGGTTTATGCAGTTAAAAATATGTGAATGAAACTATTGACAACTGAGGGGGCAGCCAACATTATTGAAGTCCCAGCAACTACTGTGAGTCTGTGAAACCACGGAAACATCATTACTGTATAGTACAGTCTGTAGTGTGCGTCAAAACAATGAAATACAAAATATGACTTTTATGATTTGTAAAACTCATTTGCACATTCAGACACGGTGCTCTCATTGCACCACTGGTCCAAAAGCTCTCACAACAAATAGAAAGAAAAGACAGTTAAGATCCTACAAATGAAGCTCTAGTTTAATCAGGAAACTATACTTTTGCATGTCTGTAGTTTATTTCTCATACGTCTACCATTCACTCATCTCACACATCTCACTCATAATTTCCTTGCTGTCATTGTTTGCGGCTGTCAATCATGACATCAGCTGTTCTGATCAGCTGGTCTCTTCTATCTGATAGCACAGCTACACAATTACATTGTAAGCCTATCAACTTGTTGCTTTCTCTTTTGAAATAGGATCGTCTCTCTGCCTTTAGTACGTTTATGCTTGCAACACACACCCGTTATGATAAACATGAGCAATCAGGAGAAACAGCTTGATAAAGCTCCACCCTCTCTGTCGCAACACAGAACAACAGGAAACAGCTTTTACTTCCTTCTTGCTGAGAGAAGAGACACAGTAAAGAAGAGGCAGACAGTAATATTCGTCTCAACCCCAAAACTACCAGAGACCGCTGCAGCAGGGAACACTGGAATAACTGGAATACGGATTTCTTGCACTTTAACCTGCTGCTGATTTCACACAATGAACTGGGCGAGGTACGGCTCGAAGTGAAAGTAACTTTCTTGTCTGACTGACTACGTTCTGCTCGCTGCGTTTACAGCTTCACTCTGAGACAAAATGGCTTCCAGGTCGGACGAGGATCTCTGCTGTCCTGTCTGCATTGAAATCTTTAAAGATCCTGTTGTTCTGTCGTGTAGCCACAGCTTCTGTAAAGACTGTCTGAAGAACTGGTGGAGAGAGAAACGAATACAAGAGTGTCCAGTTTGTAAGAGAAGATCATCGAGGAGTGAGCCTCCTCGTAACCTGGCTTTAAAGAACCTGTGTGAGGCCTTTTTACCGGAGAGAGATCAGAGAGCTTCAGAGAGTCTCTGCAGTCTGCACTCTGAGAAACTCAGACTCTTCTGTCTGGACCATCAGGAGCCGGTTTGTGTCGTCTGCAGAGAATCAAGGAGACACAACAACCACAGATTCAGACCCATCGATGAAGCTGCACAGGATCACAAAGAGGAGCTCAAGAAATCCTTGAAGCTCTTAAAGGAGAAACTGAAGCTCTTTGAACAAGTTAAAGGAAACTGTGATCAAACAGCAGAACACATGAAGGTCCAGGTTGGACACACAGAGAGGCAGATTAAGGAGCAGTTTAAGAAGCTTCACCAGTTTCTAGAGGAGGAAGAGGAGGCCGGGATCTCTGCTCTGAGGGAGGAAGAGGAGCAGAAGAGTCAGATGATGAAGGAGAAGATGGAGGCTCTGATCAGAGAGATAGCAGCTTTTTCAGACACAGTCAGAGCCACAGAGGACGAGCTGAGAGCTGAAGACGTCTCATTCCTGCAGAACTACAAGGCTGCAGTGGAAAGAGTCCAGCAGCGCCTCTTGCTGGAGGATCCACAGCTGCTCTCAGGAGCTCTGATAGACGAGGCCAAACACCTGGGCAACCTGAACTACAACATCTGGGACAAGATGAAGGAGATGGTCTCATACACTCCTGTGATTCTGGACCCAAACACTGCCGACCAAGAACTAGTCGTGTCTGAAGATCTGACCAGTGTGAGATCTGGAAAACCACGACAGCTTCCAAAAAACCTGGAGAGGACCAAATTTTCCTGCTCCGTCCTGGGCTCCGAAGGCTTCAACTCAGGGACTCACAGCTGGGACGTTGAGGTTGGAAACAATGATGACTGGGAACTGGGCATGTTGGGAGAGAACACCCAGATGAGCGGACGTCTACAGTCTGGATTGTGGAGAATTTTGTTCTCCAACAGTAAATTCACAGCGTTCTCCACGTCAGATGACGAGAAAGCTCTGTCAGTGAAGAATAAACTCGAGAGGATCAGAGTTCATCTGGACTTTGACAAAGGAAAACTGTCATTCTCTGATCTTGATACTAACACACACATACACACCTTCACACACACCTTCAAGGACACCGTGTTTCCGTACATTTACACTGAGAACCACCTCCCACTGAAGATTTTACCAGTGAAGGTCTCTGTGATGGTGGAAAAGCCCAGTTAGAGATTATTATAATGGGTTTGAGAAATATAACATTGACCGTTTACCAAAGCATCTTCACTGAATGTCTTTGGTTGCATGAGGCCACCGGTTGCAATGCTGCATATTATGGCAATGTTGGATTTACAGGATTATTGCAGCAATGTGATGAAGCACTATGATTTTATTTTAACAAGTTATAATGTGTGTTTGTTCCTCAAGGAACATATTACTAAGCCAAAACAATTACTAGAATGGAAGGATGTACAATGGGAACATTGTGCTATGACTTTTGGTAGCAATGTGGCAGATATTTCTTGCTGAAATCACAAAGAAATTAGCTTTTCTTATTGCAAACAATGAAAAAGAGTTACTGCAGTTAGACGGAAAGATGATAAACCTATTGGCATACTGAACTAGTGAAATATTATATTCTGTGATGAGGGACTTTAAACCTCCAGTTTATAATAACTGATAATGATGATAATGATGATGATTATATAAATGTAAGGAGTGTCACATGTAACATGTGATTGACAGACTGGTCTGATGAGTCAAAAGTATAGCTTAATACTTAAATGATTAATGCAAATGGGAAATGTATATGGGAATGTAAATGAAAATTTTATAGTCATAGAACCTGTTAAAATCATTTAACTCACAATTATTTATCTATATTAATTTTTTTCAACTTCCGTGCTGATAAAACACCTTTCTTTCTGTACTTTACAACGAGGAATACAAACTTTTTTTTTGACAAATAATTTTTTTATGTTTAACAAAATAAGCTCTGTTGAATGCATCATGTTTAATATATAAATGAATGACTTGACTTAAACAAGATTATGAATCAGTAAGTACTCAGAAATGATTGATATTAGATAACAAGCCGTAGTAAAAAGAAAGCACCACTAGTGGGACTCCACAGAGCTGATCCTGACGATGCTGAACATTTAGGCGAGATGACAAAGCTCAAAGAGTCGTTATGAAGTTTAAGGTGGTGGGCGATGATCAAATTGTTTATAATGCTGAATTTGAGTAATAAAATGTAAAGCAGTGATGATGGTGATGAAGCTATTATTATGTTTTTTTATAGATACTATGACATTGCATCTTTACTTTATTTGTGTGATTCATTTCCTTTTGAAACAGGATGTTAGAACTGGACTATCGGTTATTAAGAAACTGTCAGTTGAGAAGACAGGCAGAAGGGTGGTATTAGTTTAAAATGTGTGTTATGCCATGTTAACAGTATGAGTGTCAACAAAACAAATTAAATGAAAATATCTAATGAAGCAGAAACCAAATCAATAAAATCTCTCTGGTTTTCTCTGGATTATTATGATTGTGGGACCAATAAAAATGAAGTTAATGAACATCCTTGAGATTATCTTCAAATATCTAGACAGTTTTAACATGTATACCTCATGAGGATTTTTCCATCACTGAAATATTAGTTCAATCTACAGTTTGGCTGCTGTGACTGCTAAACATTCAAACGACTGTTTTAAACCTGGAAGACGCTGGAAAAAGAAAAGAGGCTCTTCCAGTCACATCAGTTCATTAAAACTAAACACCGTCCTGTGAATTAATTATAAACCTTTATATTATACTTGTGAGTGAAAACAAAAGAAACTGGCACGCAGCTTTGTTTCAGGTCATTGACATCGAGTTCAAAGAGTTGTTAACAGGGTTGTTGAGTTTCAGAGCAGGTGTTACCTTGTTGTCTTTGCTCCTCCACATTGCTCCTCCGAACAGGTTGAAATCTCGTCCCTCCAGAGACTTGTAGAGGTGCTGACCCAGGATCAGATGGTTTTTACACATCAGCTCTTCATTAACACCCTGTAGAGACAAGTGTTGCTGAGTAGATATAATAATCTTCTTCGACTAGCTGTTGAAAAACAGGATAAGGGGGACATCTGCACACTCTCTTTTTAAAAATGTACAAAGTGAAAATGTTTAAATGCTCAAACAAAGCTGCAAACTGTGAATGAAGGGAATCCAACAGAAGTCCAACTGGTGCAACAAAAAAATACCTTTCACTCACAGCGAGACAAGATTTGAGATACACAATCATGATGTAACCTGGGATGGGTCAAAGTGTGTTTTGGGTCTTTTAACGTCAGACATCGTTTCTCAGGATTATTCAGAGGTCATAGGTGACATAGACACTCTTCTTTCTGGACACTGTTGCACAGGTAAATAAAAACAAACGTATTTGTGCAAGTTTGCCGTCTAAAGACATGTTTTTCTTCAGAATACAGAAGATTCAGTGCTGTTCAGCAATGCGCCATAACTTGAACTATTGATTCTATCTAGTCGAGATGGAAACCTTTCAAGTCTGATGTTCACATTTACCCTTTATAGTCTGCAGGTCTCCTTTTTCTCCTTTACAGTTTCAAATTCTGGCTTTAAGCATCTAAAATGTCCAACTCAAGTTTCTATGGTTAACTCAGATTTCACGGTCGGTCGGGGTGTGGGTGTGTGGGGGGGTGTGTGTGTGTGTCCCCATAGGCCTCACACTCTGATTTGTTCTAGTTTGCACCGACCATCTGTCACTCCCGTTTTCAGGCCGAGCTGAAGGTGTGTGTGTGAGATGTGATGTGATCGGGACGGGCACAAGGCGACAAGAGAGCGTGTGTGAAATTTAAAATGTGTGATCATCTGACACTTGGTTTTATCGGCTGACACCGTTTCAGTATGTTTTGACGATTTAAGCTAAAAACCGAGCTACATTTTTGGGTGGACAAACAGACAAGAAGCAGCAGGATGTTAGTCATTTTCAGAGGAAGCCTGCTGCACAGCGAGGCATCAGAGGGGCTGAGAAAAGTTGTGGAAACCAGATGCATGTGTCCCACAGCACAGACCAAACAACAGAGTAGAGAAGTGTGGGGAGCTATTTTGAGCTAACTATGGTTAATGGGTTTTGTTCCCAACTGAAACGGCTCTGATTCACAAAGCTTAAATACTTTAAAGTTTCATAAATCTGTCGTTTGGTTACAATAATCCAGGAGACTCCTGTGTTGAGGAACATTAAGGAGATTATTAAAATAACACTTTGAAGCAGAGACAGGTGACACCAGACAGATAGACAGACGACCTACACTCAGAGGCGTTTTCAGCAGGGGGATGAAAGCTGTGAAGGGTCCTTTGTGACTCAGCAGCAGTGAACAGCCTCTCTCTGTAACACACACACACACACACACACACACACACACACACACACATATACCAAAAGGTCAAAGATCACAGAAAAGATACAAAATAGCTCCAGGTAGAGACAATTAGAAAAAGTAAATTTCTCTTGCATTCAGAATAACGTTAAAAATGTAATTATGTGGTGTCACATTAATGCTCGTTTATTTCACGAAGACACAGTATTCCCGTAGTTGTGCATTCATAAAAATTAGAGATGTTAAAATTGTCATAATTATCACATGAATTCTTGAGTTATGGCCAAAAATGTGTTTTGTGAGGTCACAGTGACCTTAGATCAAATTCTAATATATGATATTACATTAAAAATATAACTTTTATAGAAGCTCCGATCACGTTTAACGCCGATACCGATTGTCGGTGATTCATATCAGTTGATACAGGTCGTTGTTGGCTGCAGACAATTTTCTTTCACTGATGTTCCGAAAGAATATTTAAACTGCATCGAAGTCAGTGAAAACATTTTTTTTAAATTGATTAGGAAATAAAAAAATAATCTTGAAATTAGTAGTTTTGATGATTTATAATAAGCTGCTTAGAGCTAGTGTTAGGAAGTTAAACAGGTCAATATTCCGGTTGTAAAATCAATGTTATATAAACATCTCCAACAAACAACTGGGTCACCGGGCAGGGGGGATCCTCAAGGACCAATAAGTGCTTTACCCCTCTAAAAACAGCACAGTTCAGTATAACAACAGTATTTCCACAATGAATTTGAGGTTCTTTTACCAAACATGGCGACGGTTCCTGTCAGATTTTCTCTCTGGCTTCCAGTCCTGTCCAGCTCTATCAGCCGCTCCATCAGGTTACCGTAGCACCGGTGTCCGTCACCAATCTGACCCGCCTCACACACACACCTGGGGGGAAGGGGGTAACTGATGACACTATAACACACGTACATTCACACAAACCTGTTCAGACCCGGCACTGTCATGGGTATTGGGAGATCCGATCACAAGTGGCTCTAAAGGGACCAATTCCATCGACCAAATGCTTTGTTGTTTTAAACGATTTAATTTACTAACTCGTGCCGAGCAAATTAAGCATTTACAAAGATATAGACTGAGAATAAATGATTTATTCCACCGTGGCGCTCAAAGACTACTGACAACTTTTAAGGTGCAGTGTTTTCTTGCATGTTACTCAACGCATTATTTGATGTTGTGAATCAATCAAAACATCTTAATTGCCAGTATGACAACTTTGATTCTAGTCCTGGTCCAAGTTCTAGGTCCGAAAAGCAAAAGAGGGCCAGGAATATGGGTTCGGTTACAAATCTAGTTCAAGGGAGTAAAGATCTGTTTGTAATTCTGGTACTGGTGCTAGTTCTGGTTCTAGCTCTATTACTAGAGAACAAAAGAGAGACTAGTACTAAGCTGGTTCTAGATATGGTTGTAATGCTACAGAGCAAGACAGACAGAATAAGAAACTCATTCTGGGTCTACCTTCTGGTTCTAGTCCTTTTGTCTAGACCTGGACCTAGCTCTAGTTTTTGTGACTGACCTGGGTTGTCCATCCAGTTCAGTTTGACAGACAGCTGTGGGGTCGCAGGTGTTCGCTGAGCAGGCAGAGACCAGCTGACAACCAAACTCAGCGCTGCCACCTACAGGGGACATGCCAGACATGCACTCGCAGCTGGACTGACAGACAGACAGAGAGACAGATAAAGACAGTCAGACAGATAAAGACAGACAGACAGATAAA